TTATTGTTGAGTTGCAGGGTGGGTCCCCCCCCCCCCCGTTTTCGTTATGGGTTTACAATGTCATTCGTTTTTAGCACCAGTTTGGGAAATTTATTGTTATTTGGACTCCTAAAATTTAGTGTCCTTAATCCCAGCTCAGTCTTGTTGAAGGTTGCTGGGTGACCTGACCTGGGAACAAATTTTGAGTCCAGCGGCACCTTGAAGACCGACAAAGAAGAAGAGTAGAGACTGGATTTGTACCCCGCCCTTCACTTGGAGTCTCAGAGCGGCTTACAAACTCCTTTCCCTTCCCCTCCCCACAACAGACACCCTGTGAGGTGGGTGGGGCTGAGAGAACTCTGACACAAACTGCTCTTTTTCAAGGACAGCTGTGCCGGAGCTTGTGACTGACCCAAGGTCACATCAGCAGGTGCAAGGGGAGGAGTGGGGAATCAAACCCGGTTCTCCCAGATTAGAGTCCGCACACTTAACCACGACACCAAACTGGTTTATTCAGGGTATGAGCTTTCGTGTGCACGCATGATATCTGAAGAAGTGTGCTTGCACACAAAAAGCTCATACCTTGAATAAACTTTTGTTGGTCTTTACGCTGGACTCAAAATTTGTTCTGCTGCTTCAGACCTACACGGCTGCCCACCTGGGTGACCTGGGGACAGGCATTCTTTCTGTTCGCCAATGCTACCTCGCAGGGTTGTTGTGACAATTAAATGTAGGGGGAAGGAACTGCATACACTAGCCTGGGCACCTTGGATGAAGGGAAGGATTAAAAATGCACTTGTTAGATAGACATACATAATAATTCCAGCTGTGTTATCTTTTGTAGCAAAAAAAATAACTGGAATCTTGTGCAGCTTTGCAGACTAACAAAATCTTATTCTAGCACGAGCTTCTGTGGACTAGAGCCCACTTCTTCAGATGCAATGGGTGGACTAGAAGTGGGCTGTAATCCATTAAAATGCATGCTGGAAAGAAATGTTGGTCTTCAAGGCTGCTTGGCTTTCTACAGTGGTGGTGGAAACTGCCATCAAGTTGCAGCCTCTGTAGGGTTTTTAAGGCAAGAGATGAACAGAGGTGGTTTGCCATTGCTTGCCTGTGGGTAGCAACCCTGGACTTCCTTGGTGGTCTCCCAACCACGTGCTAACCGGAGCTGATCATCCTTCGCTTCCAATCTGACGAGACCGGGCTAGCCTGAGTAATGGCAAAAAAAGGAAAGGGAAATGTCATTGCTTAGTATTTCTATTTGTACCGTGCTCTCATGCATCACATGTTGCAGGAAAACCAAGCAAGCGTCTGCTTGCCCATCAACGAGAGGGACATTTTGCAGGAGAGATAGGCAGCAGCCCGGTTTTGCCAGTTTCGAGACTCTGCTGTCTAAATTATGGCTGAAGTGAAAGCTGATATCTTATTACCATCCATCAGAGTTCCTGTTTTCCCTCTCCCCAATCTTATTCTTTCTGAGGCAAGCAATGGCAAACCACTTCTGAACGGCCCTTGCCTGAAAACCCTATGGGGCTCCCATAAGTCAGCTATGAGTTGACAGCAAGAAAACCCAGCAAAAACTAGCCACCCTAAGCCTGCCTCGGCGGGGAGGGCGGGGTATAAATTGAATAAATAAATAGTTAGGGCTTTAGCACCTCAGATTGTGGGTACAGGCTCAGGAGATAGGATGCTCCTCACTATAAATATATCCCGTCCAAGCAGAAAGCTAGAAGGCTTTCCCTGACCTGCTAGCTTTCTGTGCTCATCATTTCCCCTCCCCCCCAGTGGAGTATTCATTTGTGTGAACAATACACCTCAAGTGGTACAGCGGAGGCAAAAATTTACCACCTATGAGAATTAGGTCCTTACAATGGGGCTTATGGCTGCCAAGAAACTATGCATAAGATCGCAGCTAAGTTTCTCTCTCATGCACATTTTTCATGTCTTAATTAGAAAATCTGTTAAAACAGTATGCTATGCTGTTTATCTGTTTATCTGCAGTGATGACTGTACTGATTTTGTGCATGTACTGCAATTGATCTTAGCCAAAAGGCCAAGAAGCAATTTCCTCTGGCTTTGTGTATGCACATATTTTGTGTTTTTAATAAAACAATTATAAAAGTGCTTGGCAGCTGGTCTTGTTCCCCTTTTAAAGAATATCAACAGTGCCATGTACAGTGATGGAAGGTATGATGCAAAGCAACAGAACTTGTTCTAATAACCTTTCTCCCAGAAGAAAAAGGAAGGTCCCAGAAACATATGCTGATTATTTTTTTCAACCCAGTGCGGGTTTATATCTGAAGAAACTTCCATAGGGTTTCACCTCATTCACTAATTCAGAAATGAATTCCCTCAAAATAAAATAAGATTAACTTTCAAGTAAATACATGTCTCTTATACTGCAGATATAGCTTGGCCGCTCAATTACTTTTTAAAAACACCTGTTACTCTGCCATTAACAGCAGTTCAATAGGCAGAAATGCAACCAATGCTGTTTTTGCCCATTATATCCCTATGCAAAAGTCAGCCACATCTGTTGAATTTCTGCTGTTAATGGTGCAGGTGGCCCACTGAGAAGAAAAAAAAAAGGTGGCAATCATGTGTTCATCCCATATCTACTTCAGCAGTAAAATTACTTCACTATGGCAACCATTTTGTGCCTGGCTGCTGCAGCCATTTTGTGGCAGCCATTTTGTAGCTGCGGTAGGGTTGCCAGCTCCAGGTTGGGAAATACCTGGAGATTTTGGGTGTGGAGCCTAAGGAGGGACTTCAATAGGGTATGATGCCATAAAGTCCATCTTCCAAAGTGGCCATTTTTCTCCAGGTGAACTGATCTGATCTCCAGCCACCACCTGGAGGTTAGCAACTTTAGGCTGCGCCCACCATGCTCTGTCAGAATTCCAAAGATGCCCACAGGCTTAAGAAAGGTTGGGAAGGGGACACTTGGATTAAGAAAAAGTCATTTTCCAAAATACATAGATATCAAACATGCACAAACAAGCAAATGGTTGCTTGGGACAGCAATATTATTGAAGGTGTAGCTAAAGAGTGTGCAGTCCAGTGGCATAGCCTAGGATCCTATATATATATATATATATATATATATTAGAAATAAGGCCCGTTGTGGAAATAAATACAACGGGATCTAGAAAGAGGCTCTAGGAGGTTGCTCTGGCTTTGGGCAAACAGTGTC